GTTGTCCCAGAATGTCTCAAAAATAAAGTCAGACCTACTTTGCAAGAAACAGCCAAATATAGTGCGGCTATTAAACAAGAAGTTCATAGTGATCAGACGTGTGTGTGTTGTGCTCTACAATTAAAGTTAATTGCAATTAATATACTGTGAGTATTGACTACATTTTAATGTCCACCTATGCAGAAAATAAATCCTAAACTTTATATGGAATAAATTATATATAAATATCTAGAAAACGTTAAAATATGCATTTATAAGATAAAATTGATGAATTAAATCGAAAAGGCATTAGCTTATCTTGTTAACAAAACATAAAAACTAGTAATTATTTCACAAAATAAACAGTACGAGGGCTTAACATTAAAAGAAATGTAAAGAAATAACTACAAATGTAATTTATCAAATGTTTAAAAAGATAACAGCGCAAATAGTCTAAAGAATCAGGTAGAAACAATAAAATCTTTCAAAGACATAGTCTAAGAAAAATTAGACATTTTAGATAAAATAAATAAAAATTTAAAAGAGGAGAATGACATACTTAAATAAAGGTTGATGATAAATGAGAGAAGTAAAAAATATAACTTAATAATATATAATTTAGAAGGCGATGACGTTTACGAAGCTGTTAACAATCTAGTAAATCAGAAATTTAAAGTAACCTGTAGTGAACACAATATTCGAGACGCCTACAGATTTTATTCTAGCATTAAAGACGGAAAACATAAACCTATTCAAATAAAATTTTCAAACTCTCGATTCAAAAGTGAAATATTAAAACGAGCAAAACAACTCAAAGGCAAAGGTATATACATTTTCCCTAGATTATATAGCTGAAGATTACCAAAAGAAAAAAAAAATCATCATCAGACAAAATGGTCAATCAGCGTCTATAAAAGGCATTTCCCTAACTATTGAAGGTACGACCTATGACCTCAAAACCTTCCAAACCACAGATATTTTCTCAGAAAGTCATCTACATTACAACGCAGCAATAGTACGTCATCTACTGGAAGCAATTCACGAAAGGGGACCAGAGAATTGCAAAATGGTCTACGGATTCGCTCGTTAGCGTCATGCCGTGGTCCAGATATTCCCGTTGTCTCCATACAGAGTCCAGTAATCAAATTATTTGGGACGAATAATCAACTGTCCACTTTTTCCAACCAGTTCATATTACCCTTTTTTAATTTTTAACGAACTTCTCCTGTAATGTTAAAAACTTTAATTCTGTTAATTTTGAGTTAGTAAAATGTTTGTTAGTAAATTATTAGTTAATGTTAGTTTAAAATAAAAATTTTACCTTGATTCAATATTTACATATTGCAAGATATTTTATCACACGTTTTGCTTGTCCACTAGGTGTGCTAGAAAATGAAGTACATTTTTGACTTTGTTGCCCGTCGCAATAAAATACAAATCATTGTGAGATCAAAAGAATATTTATCTTCATCTTAAAAAGTTAACTTGCACATGTTTACACGAGTTTAGATAATTAGTTATTTCAATTTTTGAATGGGAAGAGAAACTAAATAAATTCTTCAAGTTGCACAAAGACGTCTTAAAAATGGAGATAAATTGGTTAGCGCATCTTTTTGTAAAGAATGAAGTGACAAAATTTAAAATACACCAGCATAAGTGGGATAATAATGAGCTTTTCTCATAATATATGAAATTAGACAGAAAACAAATCAAACTAATTTCAGTTATTTTAGTTGGGGTATTTAGTGTTTCTTGAAGCAGTTAGTGGTTAATAAACATTATTATTGAGCTTATAGCGAAATTTTACTGCCTTTCGTCGAGTAAATTAAATAGTCTAAAGTCTATTCAGATTTCATCTACGCCGCGTCAAAACAATTTCTCCCATCCAGCAACAGCTCACGTGACATTTTTTTGCGCTTCTATTGGTTAATCGGTCGTTAGTCATTTAGACGACGCTCAAATATTTTTTGTCAGAGTCGAATTCAGTTGAATTTGGATAATTATAAACGGCGTTTTGGTAGCATTCACCGTGTTGGTTAGTTTGGATATTTTGTATGTTTGATTGATTATAATTCATTATATTATAGTTTAGATATACATATATTGTGTTATTTATTTTTTTTGTTTTTGTGGTTGTTGTTAGTTTGAACATGTTTTACTCTATTTTATGGATATTTAATTGACTATATTTTGTAATAGCTGCGTGACACTATGTCCTCCACAGATACAGCAGATGAAGTCCAGAAAAACGTTTTTACTCCTTCTAAAAAGCGACTGAAAAAGGGACATTTGGTCATCCGTACTAAAGAAATGGTTCTTAATATTTATAAGCATTACATTTTATAGAACCCTGATATGTTGGTACATGATGTTGAAAGGAGAGTTGCTGATAAAACAGGGATGTGCGCTAAAACCGTTTTTAATGTTATGAAGGAGTATAGGCAGATTCATAAATTTTCTGAACCAAAAGGAAAGCTACGCTATAAACAAATGATTTTGATAAAAATGCAATAAGGCGCAAAGTACATCAATTCTTCTTTAGAAATTAACTTCCAACAATTGATAAGGTTTTATAAGAAGTCAACGATGATCCATATTTGTCTACGTTTAAGCGAGCTACATTTTACAAGCTTTTCAAAACCCTTAATTTAAAATTTAAAACTCGAGGAAAAAATAGTTTGCTTTTAGACAAAAATGAAATTGTTTCGTCCTACGCCACAAAAAATAAAACGGTACAGAGAAGAAAAGCAAAAAATATATTATCTTGATGAGACGGGGATTAACGCAGGCCACACCAAATCAAAAGTATGTTTCGATATGTCGGTTTTTTCATCCAGACAAGCCTTTTTGGATAAACTTTTAACTGATTTTAAAAACCCATCAGGTATGTGCGTAAAAACAGCTCATTATATGCCATATTGGAAGTGAAGAAGGCTTTGTCTCTAATGCACTTTATGTATTTGAGTTGAAAAATCCGGTGACTACCATGAAGAAATGTGTGGAGAATCGTTTAAAGAGTGGTTTTCAAACACCCTACCAAAATTAGAAGATAACTGCATTATTATTCGAGAAAGCTGGAAAAAATATCTACGACGTCTAAAAAAAAGGTGATATTTAAAAATGGCTATAAGGGAAACAAATTGAATTCGACTACCAAATGCTTAAGATCCAACTTCTAAAACTTTGTAAGCAACATAAACATTATGATAGGTATGTAATAGATGAAATGGCTAAGCAGCAAAACAACATAATACTTCACATGTCTCCGTATCATTGTGAACTTAACCCTATTGAATTAATCTAGGTTGACGTTAAACAATACGTAGCAGATAAAAACTCAACATTTAAATCTGGAGACATTAAAATTCTTTTTAAAGAAGTAATATTATTAATTTCTCCAGAAAAATGGAAAAAGTGTATCGACCATGTTCGCCAAAAAGTTGAAGTAAAAATGTGGGAGTTGGATAATATTATAGAGGTTCAGGTAGAACCACTTGTAATTTTGATTAATGAAGATAGCCTTTCAAGTCTAACTAATTTATCCGATTCAGAATAGTGCTAAGTCAAGTAAGGAAGATTGCTATAATATAGGGTACAAGTTGTCTAATCTAAATACTAGTAGAACAAGAACAATAAAGAACAAAAGTTATCAAAAATACAAAAGGTTTGTTTTTAAGATGCACAATTTTAAATCAAATACCAAATACAAATACCAAATACCTCTTATATTTAAAGTTTTTTTAATGCTTTTAGTAGATATATATTAGCTATTAAAGAATTTGCAATTATTTGGACACCCTGTACAATATAATTTTATAACATTATTGTTTTAATGCTCTGTATCACAGTAGACATATGTAATGAACTAAATATAATGCAACCATCTCTTTTAAAGTCAAATACATTTATTAATTTGTATTGCAGGTTAACGCTGTTTATGTCGCTCTCCTATCTTCGTCCAGAAATGTCACTAAAGTCTGGGAGACCGTGTATGGCATTTATTTTATAGTTTTACTTTACAAAATATGCTTTTATCGTAATAAAAAAATAATTTCACAATTACACTCTTTTATTTTACATTTTTGCAAGACGGAAAAGTAAAATACGGCCCTGCTCAATTTTAGCGTCCACCTGCTTCTGTTTACTTCAGGCGTAAATTAAATTTGAATAGACTTTAGTCATATATTTCAAGCAAAAAACTCATTTTTTAAATAATTTAACAATAAAAACATGAAGGAGCTTGTCTATAAACTATTTAAGAATCTTCGCTGGGTACGATTCAAATATCGATGACCAAGAGGACAAATATTGTATGTCCATTTTTGTCGAAAATTCTACGTCCTTCGAGGTGAAATTTTTATGATTTCCAAATATTGTACGGCCACTTAAAACGGATTACTAGTTAGTTAGGCATTGGAAACTATTCAGCTCGTCAATGTCACCTCCAACTTTTCAATTGAGTCTACTCAAAATGACATTTTTGAACGTACCACATTTGTCCTCTTCGCCCATCGATATGATCTTTCAAACTCTGTTTATAATATTACCAATAGAGTGAAGAAAGTCTGAGATAAAAGTAAAAATGAATTTTCAAAATTAACTCATTTTTTATTATTAGAAAATAAATTATAGAAAAAAAGAATTTAGCTGTTGGAAAAGAAACAAATTAAATTATATATAGACGGTATATAGGGAATACTTCTCTTCGTTGAATTCAGTTTTAAAACCAGAATAATTATTATTTTGTATTACTTTGTATCTTTCTAAAAACCTCCCCACACTACGCTTGTGAACGACCACAGCAGATAGGCGGAAGCAGGTGTTATAATATACTACCATAATTATTACTACATTTCGTGGCTCTCTTAAAAATTTTGGTGTAAATCTTCACATTTATTCTTTCAACGATTGATTTGCTAGTTCTAAACTTAATACTTCAATTGCGGTTCTTTCGTGTAATATAGTGTAATACATATTATACTTGGATTATTGTATGTTAATGGACAACGATGAGAACCGACCTCTGCAGCCATTTTGCTTTTGGCGTATTCGATTCGGATGGGCCCGCGATCCGAAGAGAGAAGAAAGGAGCCTTGCAGGGCTGCCATAACGTGTGCAGCGCACCTCACGTCCTGGTATTCCATGAAGGCGACTGGGGATCCACCTTTGGTGTGCATGCGCAGGCGGCAGAAGCCAGGGAAGCTGTGCACAAGAACACAACACAGGTGCTGCTGAGTGGAGTGTGTACGTGATTTTGTGAGGATCACTACTTAGCAGTGCTGCCACGGTTTTGAGTTACATCGGCAGGATTGGATTATGATAAGAACGGAATTTTTATTTTTATTTAAATGTAACTGGTAAATTTAAATTATGACTCACATTCTATAAAGTGGCAAAACAAGAAGATATAAGGCTTTACAATAATATGGACTCGAACGTAAACTAAAAAGGTAAAAAAGATACAGAAGAAGAACTGGGACAAGAAAGTTATGTTGTATAAATTGGACAGGACATAAAAAAAGATGAAAATCAAAAGACATGATAAGGTTGATAATAAAATAGATTCCGTAGAAGCAAAGTTGTAGAAACGAAACAGAAGATGATGTATGTGCAATCGGAATACCAGACAGGATAGTCAAAGTGCAAATCACAAAATCTGCTGCTAAGATCCACAAACATTTTTAGCAAATAATCTACCTTAGAAAATATACACAATACGATATATTAAAAGGTCTAATGATGATGATTTTATATAATTAGTGGCCGTAATTAAAAAGAATACATAGATATTCTGCAGAAAAAGTTACTGAAAGAAGTATCTGCATTTGAAGTATTCTAATAAATGAGAAAAATGGATTGTATAAAGAAACTGTTTTAGATGATGTTTAAAAAGACTAAGTAGGAATGAACTATTTATTGAATATGAGTCATACTTTAATATTGGATCTTGTCCATTAATTTTACTTCCTATTTTAATTCTATATACCTGATAACATTTGTTTTATACCTAAATATAAAAATAAACTAAATAATCAGATCAGAATCCAATCCAATCCAAATATTACTTTTGTAAATGAGAAAGTGCAACTACTGGTACTGAAAAACTAAAATACAAGGATTATTTCTTAAATATGATCCCTGGTATTCTTTTGTTTCATACAAAAGAGTCTGTTTTTCTTTACTTATAAAACTATTTTGTCTATTCAATAAATTATAACCTCAGAAATTGCTTAAATAGCAAACCGTTCAGATTTAAATTGTCACAATATAAAAACTGCGTTGTAGTGGGAAGTTTGGAGTATGATATAGCTCTGGTACAATTTTCCTTAACACGATAAGCACCAACAGAACTTACACACAGTTTGTCTTATCAGGCCCAGCACAATTTCTGTTAATATGACTACTAGATCTCACGGATACTAATGAATATGAAACTAGGCAAATAAGCCATTAAAGACATGATTACATTTAAACTCTTAATAATTCTTTATCACTATGTTTCCTCTAGTTATCTTGTAAATTCATACAAATAACATATTTATTTTATCCCTATTTTCTTTTTGTTGTATTTATTTTTAAGTAACTAGCTTCCATTAAAAGATTCATTAATTTTTTTTCTTTTCCATATAAAATATCTGCATCATCAAAGTGGATTTTAGGTGTATCTATTAGACTCTGCCTAGAGTCGTCGAATACACAGATTGCCTAGTGGATGAAAATGTCTGGCAATCACAAAGGTTTTTTTAAACGACATGACAGTTTAATCCGCTTGTTCAAATTTGTTAGCTATTTCAATTTTATGAGGTTATATTTGAAGTTAAAAATAAGCAATTAGACACACGTTTTGTTGGCTTTGGACTCGATGATTTTGCATAAATCGCTGGTGTATGAAATAAATAACAGGGTACCCAAGACCGAGCCTTGTTGTACTCCATTTTGAACTGGATGATTTTTTGACAGCTGTCCATTTATTCTCACGCAGAACTGCCAGTTGAATAAGAAACTCTTGATCCACAATAATAGATTGCCTCTTATTCCAAAATGTTCCAGTTTGCTAAGCAGCCTTCTATGTGGAACCTTATCAGAAGCTCTCTCATAATCAAGATTTATCACATCAGTTGGCTGATTGTTGTCATTGCAAGCTGTCCACTGGTTAACGGCACTTAGAAGATTTGTAACAGCAGATCTTTTGAACATAAATCCATGCTGATTGCTTGGTAAAACTCTGTGTTCAATCATGAACTCGGTTACTTCTTTTGTAATAATCTTTTTCATTGCTTTACCGATACAGCTTGTAAGACTGACTGGTCGGTAGTTTATGGAATTCTTTTTGTCACCTTTCTTGTGTATAGGAGAGACTATAGCCTATTTCCAGTCCATTAGTAGTTCCTGCCTGTAATTGAGTCATTCCTAACTGTTCTGAGAAGATTAAGAAGGGTACTAGAACATTTCTTAAGAAAAAATTGGTAGGATTTCATCTGTTCCAGGACTTGAATCTTGTTTAAGACCATCTATTGAAAATTTCTGGAGTAAATTCTATATTTACTATGCTATTCTCATTTCTTTCTCTTGTAGTTATTTGCGGTGATTGTGTATCAGATTCTGTTGTGTAAGCTGCACTGAACTGTTTTGCAAATTTTTCTGCTATCTCGACTAATTCTGTGATTTCAAAATTTGTTGTTTGGTTTCTTAGCGTGATCTGAGCACTGTTTGTATTCAGTACTCTTTTCACATAGTAGTAGAATTTCTTTGCGTCGCTTTTTAAGAGGTTATGTTCAAAACCTTTTCTAGATACAGCCAATGAGTTTTTAAGTTTATTGTTCTAATGTCTGTATGCAGCATAATCTTTCTCAGCTCTTGTTGACCTGTACCTACGCCATAGGTTCCGTTTTTTATTAATTTCTTTGAAGTGGGTTCGATTGATCCAGGATTTTTCAGGGTTTTTAGTTATTACTTCTAGTGGAATATTGTCATTTACTACTTTATGCAGTATGTTTTTTAAAGTTTCGTAAGAACTGTTAGCAGCATGTGTTGTTTTCTCTGCTACTTGTAAATGAATACTCTTTTGGGAAATTTCTTTGTTGATCGATCCATATTTCGTTTTTGCACTTTGTGGGTACTGCCAGTTTAACCGAATGATTGCTGTAATGACTAGCCGTTGCTCAAGCCTATTGGAGGTTCGGATTTTATTGAGGTGACTAGCTTTTTGTCATTTACCAGTAGCAGATCAATCAGAGAGCTCTGTTCATTGCGTATTCGTGTTGGAAAGTTAATAAGTTGCTTGAAATGCGATTGTGTGTATGTGGTGAGAAAGTCTCTGACTTCTACATTGTTTGGGAAAAGTGTTAATGTTCTCCAGTCAATATCACGATAGTAAAAATCCCCAATATGATTACATTTCTCTTCTCTTCTGGTGCAGACAGAATCATTTCTGTTAGACCAGTATTTTCTTGTTATCCAACCATTTCAGGACGGTAGATATGTGATATCAGTAAAGTTTCTTTATTAAATTTGTCATCTGCCCATGTAGATATGATTTTCGAATTATGTTCATTCTTGTAATCTTCATTAAGGCTTGCACTAATTTTTATTAGTTTGTTTATTAATATATATTAACACTCGGCCACCTTTTTTGGTCAGGTGTGTAACACTGGAAGTGGGTGTAACCTGGTATAAGTACTAGTTGCTTGTTATTTTCCTTCACCCCTAATGATTTTTGTTTTATTATTAATTGAAGCTCATCTAACGTGGTGAAAAGGGAATATGCATTTATGTATAATAACCTAACCTCATGCAATTGTTCAGTTTTTTGGTTTTTGCTTGGAATTTGAACCAAAACATCTAAATTAACCGTATCTTGAAACATCTTAAATTGTTGCAATTTTACTCCGTCGTCCATTATTTCGTTTTATCCTCCTTTAAAATAATTTTTGCTTTCCCATAATAATATTTCTTGTATCTACATCATTGTCTTTATTTTCTATACAAAATACCATTTTAAAACTTACTTATGCTTTTTCAAATTTAAAGTATTAGTAACTAGATATTTCTGAGTAAATAATTTATTATTGTATCATAATTGCTACTAGTTTAGGCAAACATTTTATTGTAAAATGCATATTTATTACAAAATGGGGCTAATGTTAACCTGGCAACACTTTCTACAACTAAACTACAGTGAGTGCGAGGGTACATACATCGTTATTTTAAAGTGCATGTTAGATATAGAGCAAACCGCCACCATAAATACTATTAATAAATAACATGCGGCACCAGTAAATATCAATTAGTTAGGTAAAACGAGGTGCTCGCGATATTTTTGCCAACGGTAGGAATGAATAAATGTGAAGTGTATATGAACCCTCTAATTTATGATTGACTTTGATATATAATGTAAGGTATAATTTTCAAGACTAGTGAAATTTACACTTGAGTTATCATATTAAACATTAAGCTCTAACCTCATACGCCAGTTAACTAGAGCAAGAGGCAACATGAATTAAATAGAGCAAGAGTTAGAAGACAACAAAACTATTTAGAAACAATTTTACTTGATTATTAGAATATTTCTTTAATGAAGAAGAACTGAGTTAGTTCAATGAGTCACGGAAGTTCAAATTTTTATTAATTTAATTCTTATAGAGGGTAGTGTTGCATATTTTGGGAACATATGTTTACAATTTTCAGTGAGTATGAATATGATAAAGAAAATTTAAAAAGTCATCGAAATTTGATTTGGCTATTTCATTGAAGTTGACGACGATTTACTTTGTGTGGAAGTTTTAATCCATTACCGAATGATTGTTCAACGAAATATTGGTTGGTGTGCTTTTGTTTTAGAGTATTCAATATGGTGTTTTAAAGCTATTGAATTGCAGCGGATTTTTAGGTTCTTTCGATGCTGTAAAATAGTTAAGTGATCTAAGTCTTGCATGCAGAGTGCTGTCAACTGCAAAGCTATAGACAGGGTCAGAAGAAACTGAACTTGGTTAGCTGATATGTAGTAGGAATAAAGTTTGGGTCAAAGCTAAGTTTTGAGGTAGGTATTCATTCAGTGATATTTAAGAAGAAAGAAGAATAATTACCAACAACAGTAGATTTTGATAGAAGCTTTTACCCTCTGGAATTCTAAAGCTGATTTTAATTCCAATGTTCAAATCTTGCTCTAACAATTTTAAAACAATATTAGGATTTCAGTACAACGATTTATAAAAAGAAAGGTATTTACAGAGAAAGATTGTGATGACGAAGAAGAGTGTGCAGTTTTTACGTTTTTTTTTTTTTAATACAGTAAAATCTTCTATTATTTGTAATATAACTTTAGTATTATATTTTTATATAGTATTAAAATTAGTAAATTAAATATTAGAACCATGGCATTATTATACCTTACAAAATTTACCAAAATCCGTTAAGATTTTTACAAATTTAAACAATAGCAATGAATGTGTTGACTAATTTTTAGTACCTACTTGTCAGCTTATAAAGTTATTGGAGAGAACAGTATAAGTTGACTTCTACGAATAACTAAAGTGTTTAAATTTCGATTGCTATTGAATAAACTGAAATACCAGTAGTGAAAATGATATCAGTGATAAGTTATTGAGCGAAATATGTAATACAAACCTTGCGAAAATTTCTTTGAGCTCGTGTTCAGACACGAATTGTCCCAAATTGGCCACGAAGAGCGTGGAACAAGGCGGGTTGCTTACTCCCATTCCCGGTTGCGAAGAAGATGAACCAACGGGAGAAGCCAAGGCAGGACTCGGTAAAAAATGTGGCAACGACGCCGCGTGTACTGACGTCAGAGCGGTTGGATGCGGCATGCTCATCTGATGCTACGGTCAAAACATATACGTAAACAATATAATATATTTTTGATAGTAAGTAATATACATTATAAGACCAGTCGAAAAAAGTGTTTTCGTACTACTAGTAATTGTCTGACAGCACTAAACCGCTACGTTGCCAGACTTCAGTAGAAATTTGACAGATTATTCTATTGTTATGTGCAATGAACTGGAGTTGGGTAGAATGCTTGTCAATAGGCTTAAGATGCGACTCTATATTTTTATCTCACTCGGGAGTATTTATAATAACCATTTTCTACTTCACATTGTTATTGTCTGATCCACCAGCTTGTGAACTGGACAATAACAATGTGAAACAATAAATGAGCAATACAAATGGCAGCGCTCATAGAGTCGCATCTTGTTCGATTGATACAATATACTCATTGGCCTTCTATCCCACTCCAGTTCATTGGTTATGTGTAATTTGTAATTTTAACATCATTTAAAAGAGACCGCTGATTTTTATAATGAACTACAATCATGACTGATTCTAGCTGTATCATACTTGTTGTTAAATATTGTACACTTTTCCTAGCATTGTAACTCATTTTATTTGACATCTGCCAAAGTCAAGAACATTTCACTTAAGACAAGAATGTTTTTTAGCTAGTGTAAACTATAATGACATCAAAATTAAAAAATATTATCTATGTAATTTCTTCTGAATAATATTAAACCTATAAAGTGTTGTCTGGACGGAAGCAGAACTTATTTGTTACCAAACAGGCATGTGATTTTATTTAGCGATAAGAATCTTGTCCTTAAAATGTTCCATATCTTCGTTCACTTTTGCCATCTTTCTTAAAACGTTTATTTTAAGAAAATGGAATTAAAAATAAACAAACTGTGTAAAAATATAGAAAAATCATTTTTGTTACAGTGATACATAGATTAAAAATTATCTTTCTAAAAATTATAGTATATTTAAATAAAATAAGCAGAATTATGATTTGTATGTAAAGCTAAAATGAGCTAAGTGATGTTTTGTTCTCTTTTTTGTCAATTATTGATAGATTCTTAGTTTCTACTTTGTGAACAATGTTTTCAATACCTTCTTCATTGAAATTAATACAGTTTCAAGATTTTACTTATTTTTTATTTAATTTTAAACTATTGAACAGTGTCTTATCGGAACTCTAAAAATGTGAATTATTTTGTTTTTGCAGTAACCCAACGGGAATTATTTGTTTTGTTTTATTTATTAGAGGTCCCCACTAAATGATTTTAGATAGATGGCCTAAAAAAGGCCATCATCCACAAATATTGCGGCCCGTGAACCATACAATATGGCCCGAAGGAAAAAAAGGTTGAGTATGGCTGCTCTAAAGCAACAATGTCAGTGTGTTAAACCCAATATGGACAAAAGTGACTTAGGTTGTTTCTGAAATAAGCAATTCAATTAGAAAATAATTAGAAAATAATTAGAAAATAATTAGAAAATAATTAGAAAATAATTAGAAAATAATTAGAAAATAATTAGAAAATAATTAGAAAATAATTAGAAAAATTAGAAAATAATTAGAAAATAATTAGAAAATAATTAGAAAATAATTAGAAAATAATTAGAAAATAATTAGAAAATAATTAGAAAATAATTAGAAAATAATTAGAAAATAATTAGAAAATAATTAGAAAATAATTAGAAAATAATTAGAAAATAATTAGAAAATAATTAGAAAATAATTAGAAAATAATTAGAAAATAATTAGAAAATAATTAGAAAATAATTAGAAAATAATTAGAAAATAATTAGAAAATAATTAGAAAATAATTAGAAAATAATTAGAAAATAATTAGAAAATAATTAGAAAATAATTAGAAAATAATTAGAAAATAATTAGAAAATAATTAGAAAATAATTAGAAAATAATTAGAAAATAATTAGAAAATAATTAGAAAATAATTAGAAAATAATTAGAAAATAATTAGAAAATAATTAGAAAATAATTAGAAAATAATTAGAAAATAATTAGAAAATAATTAGAAAATAATTAGAAAATAATTAGAAAATAATTAGAAAATAATTAGAAAATAATTAGAAAATAATTAGAAAATAATTAGAAAATAATTAGAAAATAATTAGAAAATAATTAGAAAATAATTAGAAAATAATTAGAAAATAATTAGAAAATAATTAGAAAATAATTAGAAAATAATTAGAAAATAATTAGAAAATAATTAGAAAATAATTAGAAAATAATTAGAAAATAATTAGAAAATAATTAGAAAATAATTAGAAAATAATTAGAAAATAATTAGAAAATAATTAGAAAATAATTAGAAAATAATTAGAAAATAATTAGAAAATAATTAGAAAATAATTAAAAAATTATTCGATAAATTTAAAGAAATTTCTTTGAGAAATTATCCCTCTCGTCTTATCTAGAGTAAGAGAGATATAATCTTTCGCCTCGCAGCATCATTAGTCTTCCCGATATAAATTACACTTACCAGCATTGAAATTTGAATAACTATTTCTACTGGGCAAGTATCAAAATTATTAATTTTGTTACAATTATAAGAGTACTTACCAACGTACCTTGAATAATACAGTCTTCAAAAATACCCGTATCCCACGTAATCCGGCCGTTAAGAATCAGTTCAATCAAATTCGCCAAAGACATTGTTCTAGGGTTGCTACTGAAGTTATTATGTAACTTTTAGCCAACCGATGATATCAATTTGGCCACGTGGAATACTGGTATTGTTGAATACTCAATACATTGACTGAAATAAAATAAAATGTAGAAATACTAACATGATGGTGAACTGGAGCGCCTGCTTGCTGCAGTTGAGAGTCCAGGGTCTTGTCAGTAGATAGTCAAAGGTAGGAGCGTACCGGCACCTGAGGATGGAGCGCCGGATGCACTAACGTGGCATGTTGTAGTGCCGCACCTGGTAGTTCACCTGCTGCGGCTGCAGAATACGCCAGAGGATGGTGCCACAATTCAGGGGCACCGGGAAAAAATGGTGTTCCCAGGTCTGAAAAGTAGACTGTCATTTAGAGTGACAATCAGCTCTTGTTCCGATCGAACTGAATTGGTAGTATCATACAGATTCGGACAATTTTCACAGAAATGTTCAAAATTAGTACATAAAAGTTTATATCTGGTCCCTAATTTGTTTATTATCGTTATATTTGTTATAGGTATTTATACCTTGTCTAATGTCAATAATGAAATCAAAATAATGACTACTAGTTACGGATTTCTACAGTTTTTCTGGCATTTTATTGGCTGATGAAAGGAAAGCCGTATTATTGAAGCAAAAACTAAGAAAATAAGTAGCTAGAGAACCTATTTCTTACACTAAGGAGAATAAAAGAAAAAAATCTGTATATCAAATTGAATAAAAAAATCAAAAGGAACTTCAATTTTTTATATCGATTAAGTAACTGTTATTTTTTGGAATTGCCATTGCATGGATAAGAAAGTGAACGAAAAGTTTCTTTAAACACAAATTATTCCGACAATTCGGCTTTTTCAACTGTAAAAGGCGATTTCTCTCAGTTCATAAAGAGTGAAAAGATGGATTATCCCTACGAACAAGTTAGAGCCATTTAAAATGTGGCTATTTCAAAGAATGTTGAGAATACCTTGGATCGATAGAATCACCAGCTATGACTTCTTTCAGGAAATGAACAAAGTAAAGTAAAGTCCAGAAATTCTTGGATGTCATTATAATCAATTTCTAAGGGATTCGGGATTCTGCTGTAGATATAGTGTGAAAAGAAAAATTAAAGTAAGAAAACTATAAAAATAATATCACAGTTATTGAATATGCATAAGATAATCCAAAATTATACATGTTAAATGCAGAATTTTATCAAATTTTGGTTACTAGTTTTAGTTGGGAAAAACTCAATTTTATTTAACAATTTCTGATGTTTAAGACATTAGGCTTCTCTAGGTAAAATACATAAATTAGAATTGTTTAAAAAAATAAAAACTTTTAAAACAGTATCATCCTTTTATAGGGTTTACATATTATGCAATTACAGAACCAAAAAGATCTGGACAACTGTTTTAAGTTTAATTTGTAGAGTTGCTTGTTTAAATGATATGACAGTCAGACTGTCAAATAACAGTGTGAGCAATTAGAAAAACGAGAATAATTATAAATCTATTTGCTATTTTTAAAAAGACACTAATGTTCAAGAAAACGTTATATGCTATAATGGTAGTTTTAGCCATAATTTTGAGGTAAGATGTTCAGTTATTAGCCCTTTTCCTATTAGGCCAAAATGGCCTAGGGCATAAGAAAAAATTCTCCTATTTCCTTTCAAACTATCATATGTCCATTTTTTTGAAAAATAAGTCCTATTTAATTCTAGCTTGTGTAAAACTATCCAATATCGTAAGAAAACTAATAGAAAAAGACTTATTATAGATAGAATTCTTCTCAACAGACGAAATATATATTTATATGTATTACAGAAATAATTTAAAAGGTCCATTTTGGCCATTGATCCTGTTTCTACTAAGGTGCAGATCTTGAAAAGATAGAACACCCCAAATACTTGAAACCGTTTTCTTTTTGTATGATTAAAAACCAACAAAGTTTGGATGACCAATCTCTTATATTGTTTTTTTTTTAGATTTTTAAAATTATGCTTAAAACAAGCATAAGTTTAAACTATTTGACCAGTGTTCCCATTCTAAACCCAAACAAGGGACAGCCAGTACATATAAACGTGATTAAAATCCTTGTTGCAGGTACCTACTCACTAATTTAGAATGTTTCTTTGAAAAAAATCCGAATCTGTTAATTAATTTTTTGGAATATTTATCTAAAATAAATATATATTATAATAAAAATTACCTAGATATGTTTGAAAATTGAAATCAATTATTATTCAATTACTAAATTAAAAATAACATCATGTATAATATTAAAATCTAGTTGATGTGCCGAATTAGAACTTTATTTATACAAAATCAATTTGAACAGATAAAATAATATTTTAATTCGCAATATGGTCGATGTAACTATGGCATTTTAATTCAAAATGTTTTATTAGTATTTCTATGGGGTTTAATGCCCTTAAAAGCTTTTAAATATTCAATGTGAGAATGTATTGATAAACGTAATGGTCCTGAATGACATTAATAGAAAATATTGGTAAAATTTAATTTAATTTCAAACACTATTTTCGCGAAACTATAAACACATTTGATTCTTATGTCGAATTGACTTTGTTCAAAGTCCTAATTATTTTTCAGGAACATTTTGAAATTCTATAACGTATTAATGTAGTATCTCTCACATAATATAGTCAATTTCACCGATTTTGGCGAAAAAATAATTTATTAACATATCTACAACGTTTCTGATACAAATTTATGAGGTCTTATAAAATAGTCATTCTTTCTCCTCTACTGTGGAACCTAGTGGCAGATGAACTGCTGAAAACACTAAACAATCAAGGGCTGTAAGCCCAAGGATATGCCGATGACATAGTCATCCTTATCCGAGGGAAACACCAAACCACAGTCTTTGAACTCATGCAAAGAGTTCTTAGGCTGACAGAAATGTGGTGCGTTAGAGAAAACCTCTTGGTAAACCCTGACAAGGCATAACTGATAACCTTTACTCGGAAAACAAGGTTGGAGATTTAAGAAACTCCGACTCTGTTTGGAGGAAGGCTCAACAAAACGAATTAAGTAAAATATTTGGGTCTAATCCTAGATAGCAAACTTACTTGGAACCAATACTTACAAAAAGTGACTAATAAATGTAAAATGTCTCTCATTGTAGGGAGAAGGGCAATTGGAAAAACATTGGGATTAAAACCAAAAATGGTCCACGGGTCATATTTGGCAATAACAAGACCCATAATAACTTATAAAGCCGTTGTTTGGTGGCCAAAAGTAAACCAGAAAACAGCCCTCAATACCCTCTCAGGAGTACAAAGGCTGGCAAGCCTTTGTATTACAGGAGCACTGAGAAGTACACCGACAGCCTCTAAGGAAATCATTCTAAACCTCCCACCCCTTGACCTAGTCATAAAGGGGGAGGCCAGAATGAGTGCATACAGTCTGGAAATCTCTAACAACTGAAACCCATTGGGACATATAAAACATACCAGAATAACACATGAAGTAAATGATTCTATATTAAATATGGTATCAGATCACATGACACCCCTCCTAACCTTTAACAGACTCTTCCAGGTCAACTGTAACTGGAACAAGGTAAATAAGATTGATAAATACTTGCGGTCTCGTAAGAAACCATCCCTAATCGACTTACAAGAATGATTACGAAATAGAAAATGCTATTAAAATAAAGCTGTAGAACTTTTGGTGAGCGGAAAAATTAACGAAAGTCAAAAGGTTGAAATGATAAATGATCGAATTGAATTGATGGAAATTATAAATAGTCGAAAGTACAAAAACATCGAAAGTACAGAGTGTAGTGTAAAGTGTGTGCGTACGGGGCAGTAGCCACAACCAAAAAGAACTGTTAAGAGTCAATAAGTGAGATTGGAAATTCAGGCATTCGATCGAGCAAAAAACATGATCTTTGTAATACGATTGTATCGAAATTGTTGTTAACCAATATTCAAATAGGTCTAGTAGTTTAAATATACAATACAGAAGATCGAAAATTTGATTGGTCGAAATTAAGAATGTCGAAAAATCAATAAGTTGAAAGTTCAAATATTCAGAAATGAAAAGAACAATCATTGGGAGCATTTTGCGATCTTTCATTTGTCATTTTATCACCATTTTAACGTAAATCAACGCTGTATATTGTTGCTGTATTTTTTAAGTTGATAGATATAACGAACGAAATAATGAGAGAATTTAAATGTAAAATATAATTAAGAAATTAAAAATATTTTCCCATTATTCTCTTAAAAAAAAATTCAATATTTACCTAACCTTTGCGGCCTGGAGCCATTGTGAGTTACTTTGCAAAACAATTATATATAAAATGGGAAAAATAAAACAAATTAACTTATTAACAAATTAAGTTACTAATTTCGACCATATACCGGGTGTTCAAATTAAAGTGTTACAGTTAAATACCGCCGAAAATATGCATTTTAGAAAAAAAAGTTTTAGATAAAAGTTTTATAGTTTTTTGGGGGAAACATTTTGACTAAATTCATTTTTTTATAGCTGACCATAATATGGCCATATCGAGGTGAACTTTGTTTTTTTAAATGGGAATCCCATTTTTTTCTTACATATTCTTAAAGTACATAAAAAAATAAGAAACTCTTGAGGGAAATATTTTCTTTATTGGACTTTTACTTTTTGAGTAACAGCTACTTGAAAATATTGCTGCGCGAAAAAAAAGTTGGCCATATTATGGTTAGCTATAAAAAACGATTTTAGCCAAAAGTTTTCCCCTACAAAACTATAAAACTTTCGTCTGAAACGTTTTTTTTATATAAAAAGCTGTATATAGCTGTAACGTTTTAATTTAGAACACCCGGTTTAATTTCGATCAGATCTAATTTAGATTATTTTTTCCAATTTCGATAATTTTTCGGCTCACTCAAACTTAGTCGCATAAATAAGTCACTAATTACTACTAGGTAGCAAAAAAGACGTTACCTATCGTAAGTGTCTGTGATTTTGTTTTCAGTTAACATTTCTTTGTAGGTTTATGACAACTGCAAAATAAAGAAGTCATAATTTAATGAATGTGTACACACCCCAAGAAGACGTGGAACATTTCAAAATTTCGGCCTTTTTTGTGGAATATTGTGAATCGACCATAAACTCTGGAATATGGAAATCCTTAAGGCCAACATACGGCAAAAAAATTGCTAACATACTGGTCGACTATGGAAAATGTGCATTGGAGGTAGCTGATGGAACAAAAATTTGAAACTTCCAAATAAAAATGTTTCCAATATTTTAAATTTTATTTTTTTTATTTGTGTCAGAATTGTTTAAATTATAAACCAGGGCATGATTTTTGCGCCACCTTGTAGACGAAATATTGCACGAACATGATCATCAGAT